ATAATAATAATAATAATACGTTGAATTTGAAGCATATAGATCTATAGATAATTCTTTTAAGCAGAACAAAATTAAGAAGCAGATATTCAGGTAAAAATACAGTTTGTGAAATAATTAAATTGGTGTATATTTAACTTTTTGAAACACAGTTTTACAAAAGCATCCAAATATGTTAGTTTTGTTATCATTTTAAACAAAGTTTTATAAGTATTGCTATCATTATTTCATATTTTGATCAGACCTGAAGCTGCTTTCTTTTTAAAAAACTGATATCATTTTATTAAAAAATAAGAATTTGTCTCCGATTGTAAAAAAGGAATGTCCATATATGTCGCGTTTTATCAGATATGTGTGGAGAATTCATCAGTTTAAAGAAAAAAAAATCTAACATAGATTTCATAACAACAACAAATATCAATTAAGCCTTAAATCACATTTACTCTAAAAACAAAGTCGCTCTGGTTTATTCAGAAAATGGGTGAAAGTGAAAAAGAAAAATCTTCAGTTTTCTCAAAACCGAAAAAAATAGGTGTTTTGTTACAAAACTGTTCATACATGATGTGCATGCAAGCATCTGTGCACATGAATGTACCGTACTAGCTGTGTATGAATATACTAAGTAGGCTTACTGGACAAGAGTGTAAAGAATACATGAGTATGCCAAATTTGTACAGGTGCATACAGTAAATTAGTTAATTATCATTTGATTAAATGTCAACAAATAATAAAGCAGAAATTACACCAGCATTTCCTACCCGAGTTCCTTCTTCTGAAACTGAAATATTTCTTCTCCTTTTTTTCTTTTTTTTCTTCTGACTTTTTTCACCTTTACCAACATCGGGACTGCCACTGCAGGAGACAGAGTCTATGTCAAGGTCAGGGAAGGCTATTTCTGTCACAAAACCTGAGGAAGACACAGTAATGTACAGTATATAACACGGATAGGTCAAACACAGAAGGCTTGAAATCAAGCATCCGTCAAACTGTGCCTTGGGTCCCGTTTTTTCTTTTTCTTTATCTTTGTAAGATATCCCTCCAACTACGGATCTCTCGAACTTCCGAGGCCGGTCCTGATGAATTCGAGCTATCCGTGTTATATTGTAAGTAGCATGCACTTTTCAATAAGATTGATCAAAACCCCATAAGAACGGTAGGCAGAAGCAGAGACAAAGGAAACAAACTGATCTAAAGGAACATACAGTGAATGTTACGTGAGGGAAAGTTGTTCAACTAAATGCAGTTAAATCTGTCCGATATGATCACCCATGAGTGAGGAAAAAAGTGGTAACGGCCTCTTCGACAGTGTCATTATGATTTTTAAAATGCAAGACGAGAATTGAGAATTTTAAGTCGTTGTTTGTACAGAAGATTGTCTTTGTCAGTTGATCTTTAGAGCAGGTTCCACTATATTAAATTTTTGGGTATAAATTATATCATATCTATTACAATATATTTGTGGCAGGCATGTACCCTAACTCTGGGTGGTTAGCGGATGCTCTGGTGTGGTTTGCTTCTCCTTTTCTATCCAACATCTGTCATCCATGCATCTCTCTTCGTTCTTTTTTGTGTTTGTTACAATCTTGTAACACTTCTAATCTTCGGCACTCATATGATCTAATTGTGTTTCAAGTACCGCAAAACACTTACTAAAATGTACCCGTACTTTTACCTTACGAAACTTTACTGAGGGTTGGAAGCACAGCCTCCATCTCATGCCCACACTGAAGACATCGTCTTCACAGCAAGAGGTGTTAAAGAGGCTTGGGGATTGCTGAAAGTCAAATGAATATATGACAAATGGAAGAAAAGAATCCCCCCCCCCCATTACATCATACAGGAGGCCTGATCAGTGCAGCGGGAATGTTTTTCTTCATCTTGTATTACAAATTTAAGGGAAATGAATAAATGTATTTACGCACCTGTTTCTGATTTTGCTGAAATTTCTGCTGCATTGTTCACTTGGTTTACTACAGCATGAGAGTTCTCTTGTATACATTGCTTTAGATGACACAAAACCTGTAGAGGAAGGACATGCTGTTTTCCATCTGAGAAAAATTTACTAAAATAGGATTCCCTCTTTTGAATGAGCTCTGACATTTTGAAAGTGAAAGCAGGACACGATCCTGAAACATAGCCCTGAATAATTGACTCTTCAAGAGGCTCAATTAAGCCTACCCACTCTGTGTCTTCTTCGCGTCTTTGTCCATAAAACGTGTCGCGACTTATGACCCTGGACAAAAAGCACTTGGTTGTCAAACACTGGTGGAAGTTATCACGAAAATGAATATCTGCACCAGTTATTTCTTCATAATCATCTGCGACAGCCACAGCTTTCTCAATCACAACAGAGTTTTTAACTTTTTGTCTCACATGCTGTGAGCTGAGAAGGCAAAGTAAATTTATCAATGTCCTAGATACTTTTGTACTGGAGACTGTCAGCAAACCTTGCATCACATTCAAAGAGCTTAATCTTTATGAAAAAATCCACTATGCTAACAGAATTCAGTTCATCTTAAATTGACGCAGGCTGTCATGGATGTCCCAAAGGAAATCTGAGATGAAATCCTTAGAGAATTTGAGTCACTCACACCCTTGAAGAAATATTCCTGAAAGAAAATAAATACATAATCAAATTTTACACTACTACTAGTATGGGAAAGTGATTTTAAACTGTTTGTGTAAAAAAAAATCCACGGATGGCAAGTTAATTTTGGCACAAGTACGTAGTCAACTGGAAATAATAAAGGGTGATTAAAAAAGAATGAATCCATTTCATCACGCACTATGAGTAAGTACTAAGGAAATAAGCAATCAGACACACACAGTATACACTCACACACACACACACACACACACATACACACACGCACACATACACACACATACACACTACACATGCCCAGTACTACTCTGTCCAGTAGAGTAATGTCCTATAGTGCGGTCAAAAATTTGTGGCACAACTTATTGTCAAATATTTCCTAAACTATCAAACATAGACTCTTCAGCTTTTGCACAATGACTTATCAATTTGTCTTAACAGATCAAAATTTTTATACAGCGGAAGCCTGTTATAAAGAGATGGAGGGGATTGGAGCAAAATGTCCGTTATACCAGGATTCTTGTTATAATTATAAGGGATCCAGTAATAAATTCAAGGGAAGTAATGTACAGTAGGCCTAATCAATGAATTTGGTGTTCTGTTTATTTCTTTTTGTTATCTCCCCAAGTGATCATTTTATTTCAAGGTCATACTAATACTTGATCAAAAATCGAATTGGGTTTCTTTTTCTAGCGCTATCGAAGTTGACAGTTCAGCGTTGTTTATAAGGAAGAAAGGGCTCTTGGTTAACTCCCCCGCTGTGTTGTCCCCCACCCCACCATATACTGTGGTGCGTTCCATTTGCTTGTACACGACCCATAACGATTCACATCACTGTGGCCTCTCCATTCTCGCATCAGAGAAGTGAGAGGCATAGTAGGCCTAGATAATCTAGACTAGGCTGGCCAATCACGCGATGCATTCTGCTTGTCTGTGCAGGCCACACCCTCCCCAATCATTCGCTCCAGCCTTCATTGTTGACACACGTGGGCTCTCTCATTCTTTGTTTCGCTAGATCACCAATAAGTCTCTCAATTCGCAAGGTTTTATGTAATAGATCTATTTATAATTGGCCTTATATTTGCTGACCACAGAAGCAGCAATATTCCGTTATAACGGTGACATGCGTGTTTGTTTGATTGCGCTATAGCAGTATTTCATATTTACAAAGAAAAAGAAAAGAAAAAAAAGTGTTTTAGAATTGTGCCTTTACAACAGACTTTTCGTTATTTCAGGACTTGTTATAAGTGGACTCTACTGTAAACACCTGTATAGCTGTATTCTAGAAAATTCCTTTATAAGCACTAATTATACTAAACTAATAAGAAACCCAAGTGGGTGGTTTCTACAGATTTTTAAAGGTTTACAGCTGGGGCAATGTTGCTTTTAAAAAGCAAGCCCGTCATTTTTCTCTAATTGTGACTTTATTGAACGCTTGTTTTGAGAATCTTTAGGGTAAAAAATGTGTTCACTATAGGCTAATGAATTTCTTGTAACAAGTTTGTAAAAAGTGTCATTGGTGAGCTGTGACGTTGGCCATGCATAATATAATGCAAAATGTGTGTGAGAAGCAGGAAGTGCTATGAACAATCCCATTTTCCATGTGACGGAGATTAATGTATTTTATATAAATTTATGAAGAAATGTTATTTAATCTTGCCTCAATTGTTGTGGAAAAATAGGGGGCCCCAGTTTGTCACAATTTCATTCAAGTATTTGAGTATTGATGGCAGTAATATAACTAGAATCTAGATCTACAAAACACTTTAACACTAAGCTGTTTGTAACTTAGTATCTATGTTTTTTATTCTTCACCTTCAAATTGGTGGTGTAGTCGATAGTCCCTCGCTAAAATGTCAATTCAGCTTGTATTGTTCAATAATATTATATTTGCTCCTTTTTGAATGCAAACCAAAGCAAATTACTCTGTAAATTTTCAACAATGAATGTTCTTTCTTTAAAAACAATTGAAAAATAAAATTCAATTCATACGTAATCAATCAATCATTCATTTACTCCTTTTGAGAGTGTAGTGTCAGTGATAACTTCCATCTAGATCTAGATTTCTAGATCTAGATCTAGAATAACTAGCAGACTCTCTAGTAGATCTAGATCCTGACCCTATTATTGAGTTATATTTCAAGAACATGCAAATTATATAACACAATTTGTGATGAAACCACCCCTCACTCCTCACTTAGTCTGCCAGTGTCACAGCCAGATTTCTAAACCAAAATATTTTGGAACTCTTCAGATCGAAAAAAATAGAAATCAGATGCCCCTTTACCACAGAATCTACACTTGTGTAGAATTTTGTGGGGGTGCACCTGCACCCATAATAATATTTTGTTTACTTTCGTTTTTAGCCAACGACCTGATTTACCTAGATGCAAAAATAAAGGGAGATAACTGTATTTTGAACGGAATAGGCGTACAATAGACGGACTGCATCAGTTTTCGAGACGTGTTTCAAAATGCTTCTCACAGAATCATTATCATCCAGTGCCAAATCTGCGACAGACATCGGCGATCATTGTTCTTCATTCATTCCTTTGCTCAGATGCTCTTAATAAAAAAAACAAAGTTTCCCTGATCTTTCCCCGTTACCCATTTGTTTAGGTTTCCTGTCGGTTGCTCTGGGCCTACCCCTGCCTCGTTTGCTCTCAGTTTTTCCAGTGAGAGCTAGATGTTCAAGACCCTTTTATGTCTATTCAAGTGTCCCAAAAACTGCATTTGTCGTTTCCTGATTGTTTTTAACATTGAGCGTCCCACGTGGGCTTCATTAAGCACTACCTCATTTGATTTCTTTTCCTTCCATGATACTCTTAGCAGTCTCCTAAGAAACCACATTTCTGTTTCTTGTATTTTATTTTCATTGTCTTTACTGATTGTCCAGCATTCACAGCCATTTAGAAAGGTTGACCAAACATAGTATTTCAGAACTTTCATGTTGGAGTTCATTGAGATGTTTCTATTTTTCAGGATTGGGCTCATTTTATTCTCACAGAATAACTATAAAAAATACATAGATATTATATGGTTGAGATTTAACCAAAGAGTCTACATAACAAGAGGGGCCACTTCTCTCTTTGAGCCAATTAAAAAAGTGTCCTCAAAATTCGGTGGCGCCCTCTTTGCAAAAGCGCACCTTTTGGGAACAGAGTTATCCTACTTGAGTTTAAAAAATCAAAGTGAAACTAGCAAGTTTTTTAATGAATTTCGGAAGAACACTTTTTTTAAATGGTTATGCTGACAAAAAAAACTCTTCCGGAGGAAAGGGTGATTGTTTTCTTCGTTTAATTTGACTTAAGAATGAAAGGCTAGAGGTCATTAAAATTTAAAAAAACAACTAAAACTCCACACTGAACGAACCCGAACTGCCGATGAACAGCAGTCGATCTGCGCACGCAAGGAGGTGCTATTCCTATTCTTCTTCTGGAAAAACGAAAGAGAGCTTCAAAACAGACTGCAGCGCCATCTGAAGCAAAGAGCGCACTTCCTGCAGACACTTTTTTGCCTGAGTGGCCCATCTTGTTATGTACATGTACTATCTTTGCCTTAACACAGCAAAAATCTGATTTTAAAAAATAGCTGTCTGAATACTTTTGTGGTTTTTTTCCATGTCAGGGAATGTAGGAGCTCGACTGTAATTTAAACAAAAGCTGTTTCAAACACGTACAAGCCGAAAACGTGGAATCACTTACATGAACATTTAAACAAATATTTTGCTCATTGCTCAAAGTGTGAATACTGTATAGTAAATATCTCCCTAATTTTGTTCAACTATTTAGTTATACAGACCAATAGTTTGTGGAAATCAAACAAAGAAGATGCTTTATTTATAATGAAAAAAAATCCTCACAATCATGAAATACTATTCCACATTTTTGATGATTATAATAATCATCATCATCACCATCTTCAGTACTTTTGTTGTTGTTGTTATTATTATTACTTTTATCATTATCAACACACACATGGCATAAGCATACACATCTATATATATATATATTTATAATATCTATACGGAATATATATAGGCTCTCTCTCTCTCTCTCTCTCATTAATTTGTATGTCTCTCTCTCTCTCTCTCTCTCTCTCTCTCTCTCTCTCTCTCTCTCTCTCTCGTGTTTGTTCATTTGTTCGTATCCACACATGTATCGCCAGCGTGTGTGGTGTAGCGGTTAGGTGTTTCACTGTTGCATCAGGAGACCTGAGTTCGATTCCCAAGAGGGAAAATTTTTTTTACCAAGTATCTCAGTCTCTCTGTTGGGATGTTGTATTATGTAAGATAGTGTATCCCTCTTCCCTCACTGGCTGGGTCAGAAGCGCGCCTCGTAAATAATCTAAATTGTGTCGATGGGGGCGTAAAAAACAACATTACAAAACAACAACAAAAAAAAACCATATACATGTCTCTGACAATGAATGTTCGCGCGCGCGCGCGCGCGCGCGCGTGTGTGTGTGTGTGTGTGTGTGTGTGTGTGTGTGTGTGTGTGTGTGTGTGTGTGTGTGTGTGTGATAATGTGGATGTGTGTATCTGTGCACCTGTGTATAGTATGTCGATGTGCGGAATTGTATCCGTTTAATTTCAGTTTCAGTTTTAGTAAGAGTTATATGGCACCTCAGCACAAATAGGTCACGTAGGTGCCACAGATTAGTAGAGCTGTTACTTGGGAAAATGGCGAAACGGTACAGGTATAGGGTTAACACCCCCTATCATCACTATTAGGTTATTTAAGAGGCGGGACCTCTAAGTCGAATGTCCATCTCTGAAAGGACGGAGCTAAATGGGAAAGGACACAACGTCAGATAACAAACTGAGGCTCGAACTCCCAAACCTGCAATCTCATGAATACAGGTCGGATAGCCTAACCTGACCCACCACAAGGCTACAAACGCCATTGTTACAAGAGATTAACATACAATGAAAATGAAAAAACTGAGAGAGATTTAGGACAATTGATGACTGATAAATTAAAAGATGGAGCAAACCACACCACAATACCCCCCCCCCCCCCTGAATTGATCTATTGGGCATGGCGACTGAGATGTTGCAGAAGTACGTATCTAGTCTCAACTCGGAGTCCAATTGTATTGACCTTTGCAACATTGTCTGTACATTGCGTTTTACTGTCGTATCCATACGACGAGGGGAAATTTACTCAATAATCCGATCTGTACGCTTTGCATAGCAGTCTGTCAAAATGATTTTGGGAGAAATACTGAAAGTTTCATGAGATCTTGGTACTAGCAGTAGAAGTATTTTAAAATGTAAAGAATACAACCCCGGGGGTACAAAATGTTCCCAGGACGTACGGATAGTGTTTAAGAGCACAACGTCCATCTCCACTAGGACTGATCTAAATGGGAAAATTTGTTGTAAAGTGCCTTTACCCAGGACACAACTCCTTTCTCTAACCGGGCTGAGGTTCGAATCCCCAAACCTGCATTCACATGATTACAAGACAAGTCTGCTTACTTTACCATGCGGCTACTGATGCCACCTGTGTGCATGTGTGCGTGTGTATGGTTACTTGTCAGCTCACATATGTCAGAGAACAGAAATCAACCCGGCTTATCCCCTCCTACATAAATGTGACCCCTCAAGACAGGATTATTTAGAAGGTGCAAAAGTAGAATCCCATCAGCAGAGACCAAATTTTTCTCAACCTTTTCTCTTAAATTTTCCTTCTTAACCTGTTGTTCTGAATAGTAATGATTGCTCCCCCATTGAAATGGCTCTTAAAAAATGTGTCTTGAAGGGCAATAACCAGATTTCCAACCTGCTGAGGAAATTTCTGGAAGGAAAGCAAGAGACATACATGAGCATCTCTAATGAGAGGCTGGCAAATGCTTTATGTTCAACTAATCTTTCATTGCTGCTTACTTACTTTACTTTTCTTTTACTTTTTTCTTCCGCTTGTACCCTGGGGTGTCGCGGGGAGACACAGGTGTCTGTCTGCAGCAAGTCGTGTGGCCTGTAGGAGGGACATCCCATGATCTTTAAGAGTGTCTGCCACAGATTCACTCCATCGTCGCCTTGGTCTTCCTCTGGCTCTCCATCCAGAATATTTAGTGTTGTATGCTCTCAGAGCTGGATGGTTAGAGGGCATCCGCGTGAGGTGTCCGAACCACTTGACCTTTTGTTTTTCAATGTGTGGTAGGACTGGTGTTGCTCCCACGGTGTCCCTTATGACTTCATTTTTAATTTTGTTTCTTCTTGTTTTGTTGACCGCTCTTCTTAAGCATTTCATCTCGCAAGTGACCAGTTTCCTCTCTAGGGCTTTTGTTAGAGTCCATGTCTGGCACTGATATGTGACCGTTGGAAGGAAAATGGCGTTGATGAGCTTCGCCTTGGTGCTCATGGGGATATTGGGATGTTTCAGGAGAGGGCCCAGTTGGTAGCTGACTGCGTTGGCTCTCTGGCATCTAGTCTCTATCTCTCGATCTAATTTTCCATTTTCTGTGAAAATGCTGCCCAAGTATTTGAATTCTCTGCTTTGTTTTAGTCGGGATCCATTGATGTTGATATCCACTTTGCTGCGGTAACAGTAAAACATCTATTGTGAAAGTGAAAGAATAGTGCAGACAAGAATGATCCTTGGTAGACAATACAAATTTATTACATTTTGAATAAAAATTCTGTCAATCACATCTAAGGAGTTTAACAAATGATGGACACCAGGGAATGAAATGTATTCCCATGAGAATCTACAAATTACCAGTATGTAAATCATGCAGTCCCACAGATGAATGCGACACCATCAATGCAAATCTTAATTAAAGCATGAAAAGAATCCCCCAACAGTACAAACTAAAATTGAGCAGAGCTAATTGAATTAACTCTATCTACAGAGGGGCTTTCTCACTAAGTGTCTAAGCTGGGGCCCTCTCTTGGTACGAAACCTGAAGGTGACTTAGGCGTCACTAAATTGGTAAATAAATCAAAGCAAATTAACCTATTTTGAAAATTCTTCACATCTAATGACAGAACTTTTGGTGAAAGTATAAGAAACCTGTTTTTGGCAATTGCCGAAAACAAATATAACGCCAAAGTGGCCGTAAAGGAATGTGCCTAAGCTGCTGCCAGTGGTTCCAGCAACGAACCACTGGGAGTGACTTGCTGGAGATAAGGAGCTAATCGTAAAAGACATTCTGACAAATTACACGAAAGCATAGATATTTCAGTTACTTTCTTTGATCTTGGGCAAAACTAGAATGTCATCTGTCATCAAACTACACTTTCTTTATAATTATATATCTGTTAAGGGAATATTTCTGGAAATAGTTTTAATGAGGGTCGTGTACATGGCCACAGTGGTTGTCATTATAGCAGGCGTGAGCCAATAGACAGGTACAAACTTCTTATACTATCTGAGAGGCATCATGATGAAATCAGGAGCTTAAAACGATGAAATCGAAGATACTAGCATTTTCTCGCCAGTTTGGCAATTTTTATCGAATTTTCGTTTTTTGGCTCAACACCTTTCATAAATTTCTGTGTATGGATTTTACTGACAAAAAATTATAGGCACAAAAAATGTAAATTTCCAGTTTCCAAAGTCAATCAAGCTATGGAAGCCACCACACTTTGGTGGCTATTTTTACCTTAATTTTACATCTGAAATCAGGCAAATCTCACCCCCTTCAATCACAAATATCTCGACTTCTATTCAAGACAGATGGATATTTTTTTCATCAAAAGATAGATAAGATAAACAAGCTTTAAGATGATAAGCTACCAATTACTGAACATGTTCAAAATTTTGATGAGAACCTGATTCCACAACATCATGACACATTTGTAGTCAACACATTGGTAGTTTTAAATGCAACTAAACAAGCACAGATGATTTCCCTAAAAGTCTACATAAAAAAGTCAACTGATGTAGTAATCTATGCGAAACAATGCATTAATCCAACAACTCTCATATACATGTGCATCCAAACATAAAGATTCTATTTGAAGTGTCACGGTGGTGATGAATATGACCACCATCAGTCGACACATAAAGACAGAGCATTGAACTTCCTGTATAAACTCGCACACACATAAAATACACACTAGCTACCAAACAGTGATGGGAATGTAGTATCCAGTGGCATTTCTAAAATACAGACAAGGCCGCCCAGGAAGAGTATTAAACAATGAAATTAAAAGACTTTATTTTTATTTTAAAAGTCGAAATGAGTACCAGTATTGCAAAAGGCATATCTATTTGGCTATCAACAAAATAGAAAATTCTTGAAGCAAGAATTTCCATAAGTAAAGAAGGAATTATACAGGTGATGAAATCACAAATCTGCTACAGAAAAATGCTCTGAATATGCAAAAGAAATGAACTAATAAGAGAAGCCTAAAGAAGAGAGGACAGTACGGACAAAGAGGTGATGACCACAAAGATGTTGGCTATGAAAAGAAAATATGCTACTAGAGCATGAAAATCAATATAGATTCCAATTAAATTTGTTCCTCCAAAGACATGTTTATCAAGTCTATTTTAAAAAACATGGATAAGTGCAAATATGTTGAAATAATTATCATTCACAACTTCCTTTATACGTAAGAATACACTCCATGTCACTGATGTCATACAATCATACAAACACTCACTCTCAAAAATATTTTTTCCGCACAAATCATGCACTTTACACAGTTGTTGCAACAGGCTTTTATTTCTGCTTTGTGACTCGCACCACGTATCTGCGTTGTGTCACCCATAAAAAGATGCTGATCAAAACTGTAGGTATTGAAACTCCTGCTATAAAAGCCATAGTCGGAAATGTTCCCTGAAAAAGACAAAGACAGATTTTTAAATATTTTTTTTCTGTAAATGAATAAGGAAAACATTTATCAAAAACAATAATCTGTCTAGAAAAAGGGTCTACACACCTGACAGACATCCTTATTTTCAAGCATAAACAAGAATCCTTAGAAAGACTAAAGGGCATAAATGCACAGAAGAGGTGTAAGAATCCACTATATAACAGAAAGTGTGTGCAGGGATGCCACTGCCACTTTATGAAAAATAACTGAAAATTTACAAAATCGCATTTGCAAACAAAAAAGACAGTCCATAAACACAAAGTAATATGGCATAAAACAGAAAACAAATACTGAGAATAATAACTGTTGTTCTTCCTTTGTTTTTTTGCTTAGAGAAAATAACATGAATGTCTGGACTTTGTTGATACTTGATACTTCATTTTCTGGAAAAGAATCCCAAGATATTCTTTTGTTTTTATTTTCATTATAAATAACAAAAACAACAAGACCGGCATCCATGTGTAAGATTCCACAAAGCAACAAGCAAAAGTATAAAACTTCACAAGGAGGCAAACAAAAAAGTGTAAACTTCACGATACAAAGCTGCAAACAAAGAAAGTATAAAAACTCACAATACAAAGAAAGAGGCAAAAATAAAGAAAGTGTAAACTTCACAATACAAAGATGCAAACAAAGAAAGTGTAAAACTTTGCAAAGATGCAAACAAAGAATATGTAAAGAGGCAAACAAAGAAAGTGTAAAACTTCACAACGAAGGTAAAAGGTACGGTACCTAAAAGTAACACACAAAGAAGGTGTAATAATCCACAGAACTTCACAAAGATGCAAACAAAGAAAGTGTAAAACTTCACAAAGAAGCAAACAAAGAAAGTGAAAAACTTCACGAAGCTCCGAACAAAGAAAGTGCAAAACTTCACGAAGCTCCGAACAAAGAAAGTGCAAAACTTCACGAAGCTCCGAACAAAGAAAGTGCAAAACTTCACAAAGAAGCAAACAAAGAAAGTGAAAAAATTCACAAAGAAGCAAACAAAGAAAGTGTAAAACTTCACAAAGAAGCAAACAAAGAAAGTGCAAGATTGCACAAAGTAACATAACGAAGGTATAAGGTACGGTACCTAAAAGTAACACACAAAGAAGGTGTAAGAATCCACAAAACAACCAACATAACAATTATAAATTTAGCATTGCTCTGCATAAAAATAAAATAAAAAACCAAAACACAACATCATGAAAACAAAAAAAAAAACAACTTTCACAGTCAAGAAACAAGCTTACCTCATTCATGCACTTGTAGCCATGAAATCCCTCATTGCATAAACATTCTGTGAGGCTGAAGC